AGACGGCAAGCCGCGAGCCGCCCTCCCCTCGGTTGGAAAACGTCCCAAGTCCTTGTTTCCCCTGTCGATGCGGAGGGGTTCAAGGAATCCCTTTACTCAAAACCGCAGAAAACGGTCGGGTTACTGGTGTGTGTTTGGGCAATTGAAGGTACACTGTGAGGCCAATCGCGTTTTTCGAACCGCATGTATTCATTCCTTCTTCAATCCCTACGCATGATGGTACCGTCATCCTGGTTTTCACGGTCGAATTCTGCTATATGTGGCGTTCGTGTTGGTTATGGTGGTGGCAATGGCAATGCTTCCCCCAACAGAATCTACTCGTCCAACAAGTTTATCATTGTTTCGTGCACGTCTATCTATACTGTATCGCTCGTCGGTTATGTCCCGAATGAGGTGCCGGGACTACAGGTCAGGCTGGACGGAGAGTGGTTGGACGTCCCTCTCAGAAAGAGGGCGTTTATTTGCAACCTCGGCGACATGCTCCATAGATGGTGAGGCACCCTTCGTTGTTCCGTCAACGCGGTGTCGTCCTCCCACTCCGCCGTCGCTCCAGTATCAACCATTTTCATGGGAACGCGTAACGAGGCCCAACATAGCGTGTGTGATTGAATGTCGAAGTCGTTGTTGAAAACCTACGTAGCGATACATCCAGCGTTTTACAGTGAGTGGTGTCCACGCGCTAGTTTTGCAAGCAGCGCGCGGCTTCGGGAGACCGGCTGTCAGAGGTTGAGCATGGCCTCTAGGACGAACGAAGGTCTCTAGTTTACGGACATTTGAAGATGGCCCTCAGCAACATGGCGTCCCTCAACGGCATGTTGTGGTGTCTGACCAAGGGCACCGAAGGCTTGTTGCTCGTTTCGACGATGATGACCGTGCGACGCAGACTGAAAGCACGATACATGATCTTCCGCTCGCCCAATTTCTCTCGGATCCACAAGTAAGTACAAATATTCGGATATTCACTTTTATTGTTACAACGATGCAAAGGTCATGAGTTGCCGGCGAAAAGTAGCCCAAGATATTCCTCCGGAGGTACACGATCGTAATCTTTGAACCCATTGAGATCCGTGTTTGGCGGAACAGGCGTACAGCAACGGTGCGCATCCATGTGCTACAAAATCCTCACGTCGCCACATGTGCTCCTTTCCCATTGTCCCTTTCACCAAACCCAGGATTAGTCCCATGCATGTTAGCGTAAGCAAGAGAGCTGAAAAGTGTGCACCGTGTTGTGTTTTTATTGCCGGGCTGGCAATTTCCAGGACAAACGGCGACCTGTGATCGACGGTACACTGGGTCGTTGACAAGGCCTCGAGCGCTGCAGCATCCCGTTCTTCTTCGAGCCGAACTTCGACACAGAGGTATGCAAGTTCCGTATCTGGCCCCTCTTGGTTGACGTGCAGCGGTACATGCGGCAATGCAGACCGCCAATACTATGTAGCAATTATTTGTGCACCTAGCTCAACGTAGGAAGGGCCCGAGCAGTCAGTTGATGAGTGATAGTTTACCATGTGCAGACCCTCCACGGGGCGGCGATCATTTGCTCTAGGTTGTCGCTCGCGTCTGTTCGACAACGTGCGTCTGTTCAGCGCCACCTTCGAGAATATGGTACAATACATGAGTGAGCTTTCACTTACCTTTTTGGCAGGGTTTGAGCAAGAAAAGACGGATTTCCCGGTCTACTGTGATACGTATAATAGTTCTCCTGGGCACAGAGAGAGGCAAACGTGTGCTCGATAGTTTCCCCAGGTGCAGCTGACCTCACCACCATGCATGTCCGTTTTGGGCAATCGTACTGGGGTGAAGGGGCTACAGTAGTTGTTGTGGTATGGTCGATCATTGGTCCCACGAAAAAAAACATGTAGAGTAGAAGACATCAAATGAAAGTTTTCTGAGGTACATCTGCAATTGTCGGAAGGCAAACAAAATAATAATAAAACACAACGTCTGCGTGGGGTCTCCCAATTGTTGCGATTGGCTTGTAGTATATCGTCTAGTGGGTTGTTTCTGAAGCTGACAGAGCCTTAGACCGCCATCCCGGCACCGTATTTCGTGCTCCCACAGGACTTTCATAGTCACAGGTTATCTCACAAATGAAGAAGTCGCGCCGCCCTGGCATGAACTACTACTGACTGCAGCTTGGTGCGTACGTATCCGTTATGATGAAGACAACCGTGAAATCTCTCTGTGTGTAGGCGTCCCCCTGGATGCTGGTGGAGGCTTAGACTACGCGGCGTTCCCAATGTGCAGCGAATTCGCCCCTTGTTTCGTACCACCGAATTTTCCGAGCTTGTGCTTGGAATAGACAAGGACCGTGCTTCGGTGCCCCTGCTACTGTGTGTACATACCTTGTCAGGTGGCGTGTTTCCCGCAGTTTGCTCGGAAGAGAACCTAGCGAGATACCCGCCAGTGAAGGCGGGAGCATACCTTATGGGAAAATACCCCCAGACGCATCAGGATTTCGACGGAAATCAGCCCGAGAGCACTACTTCTTTCGTAGACATTAAATCACATGTTGTATTTATTAATGCTGCGCTTCGTAAGAGCGCCAAGACAGCAGTGATTTCATGTATACATTGACGTGAATTGGCTATAATTCTCGACAGGTCTCGACGTAGAATAGACATTTAACAGTGCTTGTTGCTCTGCCCCGCCCGGTCATCGTTGCGCAGGAACCTTCTATTAATAGTAGTGCGGGGGCTCGAATATTGCTTCTGCCAAATTCTCATGCATGCGTGGACGTTTTTCGGTATTGTGCAGCTTTCCTTGTACATAGGTGCTTGGCATAGGGGGGGGGCTGCGAAATCGAAGGACAAAATAACTTGGTTGGAATAGGCCGAAGAAGAGGCGCGGTTTTCTCGAAAACTGCCATTAGCTTTTGTGTCGAGCTGTTTCATATCACGCTGCAGGAAGGGTGGATTTTGGCAGCAGCTACTTTCACACTTGAGTCCGCCCCACTCGAAAAAACGAACAGAGTATTGTAATCTCGACGACGTCGCCCGAACAAAAAAGTAGGGTGGTTGGGAGAAGAAACCGGCGATCGCGGCTATTTAACTCTAAACCCAAGTCATTTTGCGGAGAAGTGGGCCAGAAAAGTGGGGTAAACTCCGATTCGTTTTTTCTGCTGCAGAAACCTTTAAGGGGCACTCAGAATAGGGGTTTCAGAAATTTTTAAAATGTAGCTCTGCGTTTTAATATGTTCCTGTGTGCTACGAAGTACTTGAGAAGTAGCACGCATTGTAATGTGTGGTGTTGTTTGTGTTGTTCATGTTTATCTGCCTTTCTTTCTACAAGCATCGTCAGCGTTGCTATTGTTAAGGAGGACCCGATTCCCAGGATATCCGCCGATTGACTTTTACCTGAATCGGTGCATCTTCGCACGTGGCGTCAGCTGGATACTGGTTCGATTCTCCTTGGGTGCACACTGTTTCTCCTGACTTGGATATTATCCCATGAACACAATGTGTGTCAGTCCTGAGAACACCTCTTGGAGTCGATCCTACAAAGAAGCTTGTGACATTTCCATCGAATTACCCATCTTGGCCACAAGGGGCTCCCAGTTGAGGGTAAATTCTGTGGGTGGAGAGTGTTAAGGAGGACCCGATTCGCAGGGTATCCGTCGATTGACTTTTACCTGAATATTACCCATCCTGGCCTCAAGGGGTTCCCAGTTGAGGTTAAATTCTGCNCAATGTGTGTCAGTCCTGAGAACACCTCTTGGAGTCGATCCTACAAAGAAGCTTGTGACATTTCCATCGAATTACCCATCTTGGCCACAAGGGGCTCCCAGTTGAGGGTAAATTCTGTGGGTGGAGAGTGTTAAGGAGGACCCGATTCGCAGGGTATCCGTCGATTGACTTTTACCTGAATCGGTACACCTTCGCACTATTTAGACTAGTCCCGACCTCGTTTTTTTTTTTGCTTCAGGCTTGAGAACGGAAGCCGGGGGGGACTCCTCGTACATGCAAGACGTGAAAGTCACTTACAGGTGTATTGTTGTGCATACTTCACGAAGTTCAGTGGTCGAATAAAAGCGAAAATGGCAAGCACTGCCGAGCCAAGAGAGTTTTGAAAATGGCCTGCAAGTACGAGCTTGAAAGCGTGGTTGTGTCGGCAACTATGTAACTGTGCATGTTCATACTCAAGCAGCGGTTGATACACGTTTGTTTGTGTGCTGTTCTGCGGCGGCCTGTCTATGTATGTGCTGTGCGGCAGCCATTCCAAAGCACTTTTTCCCTCAACTGACGAAACGATTGTGATGTTTGCTAAAGAGGGCCCGATGCGGTTCCTTCGAGTGTGAAGAGGAGGAGAGTGTTCGGTGGAGACCACCACCTCGAGTCACCGACCATGATGACGACGGTGTCGTTGCGTCTGTTCCCAGAGTTCAAAACATTTCAAACGGCAATGCCATTTGCTCCACCGGTGGAGTAGCCTCTTCTTTGCTCCACCAGGCAGATCTCCACTGACCGAGTTCCAATCGAACTCAAACCATTTGCATCGTGTAGTTATGAACTACAGCTATCTGCAATGTTTCGGAAAGCACGAGTTGAGTGGAAAGAAGCCAAAAAGCATTGGAGGAGAGACAGGGAGACACAATTGGAGTGGCCGCGAGCGAGCTTCGAGCTGGCCGGCGTGCCCGAATAACAAACTATCGTTGCAAATAGCCATTGCCTCCTTGTCGTTCAAGCCGGCCACTGTAGGCGACGTACCACCGCGAAAACAAGCAAGCACGATTGATCCGAGTATTTGGTGTGTAAGAGAAGGGCTAGCGTGTGCCCCAACTCTTTGTCTCTGCTCTGCCCCGCCTTGTCGCCTCATTTCCCGTGCCATCGATTTGGCGCCTCTGGTCACGATTTCGTCACCTGTCTTCTTCCGTTTTCCCCTGCGTTTTCGACCCCTTTCAAAAACAGTTCCGCATGTACATGGAGAGCAAACAAGGGCGTCCTTCGCTTCACTATTAACGCTTGCAGGATGTGTCTATCTAGCTCTACAAGCTAAAAAAGGCATAATGATACGAATGAAACAGAAAAAACTAGGACATGCAGTGCGCAAAAAGAAAAACAGAATATTACGAATGAAATAGAACAAACGATAGTGACTTTCACGAAACAGAAAGTGCCGGAACAAACACAAGCCTCGCCCGGTGCCATAATTTCCGGCGACCGACTTTTCTTTCGTGAAGATTTATTTATCCCCGCAACATCATCATCCGGGAAGACTAGACTCACGCATAGAGGATTTGAAGAGGCACGCCAACTACTTCTTACTAGACAAGGCGGGCCTTTAGTGAGTATCTGAAGAACGTTCCATCGAGATCTCGCGCCCTGATAAGGCGGAGAGATCCCACAACGGCGCAACTATCTACTCTGACAGCTACCTAATACGGGGAACGATAATAAAATACCTCAATGTGCTTCAAATGCTGTACAAATAACCAACGACAGCTCCCCACCTACAGAACCACAACAGTCGAAGGACCGCTTCTGTCTCGGCTTGCTCACCGAGCATCCTGGGAACAATTGAAAACATCGGCTGAGACGGCAACTCTTAAGCTCAGGACACCAACAGGATGCAACAACCGCCAGATCCGGACACTTCGAGATGCCCCCCACTACCAGCACGGCTTCTACAGCAGCGGTGGGCACTTGTCCTTCTGACACGTACACAAACAAGCTCGGATCTACGTCTTACAAGGGCCCTGGATCTTCGTCTAATGAAGCAATGTCGTGGGGGATAGGTTCACGAGGCCAGCCCAAAGCCAACCGCGGAGGAGCGATGGGAGAGAAAAAAAAAAACTATACTGGCAGGTTACATTGTTCTATGGAGAAAAAAACTCACGGAGCGGCAGAGGTAACGACATTCCACCGCACGCATGGACATCAAGCCCGCACCTGAGAACCGATCGACTGCCGCAATGAGACCGAGTATTCCCTCGCCTATAGTCACACCTCGCCGAACCTTGCCGAAAAAGGTCAAGGGTACAACGACAAACACGGCTGGTAGACTGACCCTGTCTTCCCGTCGCTCCTGAAAATCAGCGATGATGCTCGTCGGCACAGCTCGTCGGCACAGCTCGTCGGCACAACACGCGACACAAAACACCAACTCGCGATCTCAGAAACCATAAAGGGAAGCTAACTTCTCCAAAGCACACACGCCAACAAACGGAGACATGTTCCCACCGCCCCTCTGGCATATCACCACATAGGTCCCGCGCCTGCCTCCTCAGCCTCGCGACCGCACCATCTCCGTCTTGAGAAGTAAAACCAAGCAAACACAAAACTCCGTCCAGCGCACGGCCTCCCCTTCGACGGAACACTCTCAACTTCCCTTGCACCTCTCCTTCCACGTCGGCGTCTCCCCATGTCCGCGGCTCCGACCCCTCCCGCGCCCGCCAATCAACGGGAGGATCGAGTCTTCCGCCCCGCCGCTTTCCCCAACCCCACGACCGCCGCCGCCGCCGCCGCCGGTGCCGGTCCCGTTGCGGGGGCTGCTGCAGGTGGCACCGCCCTCCCCGCAGGCAGCGCCTCCATGGACGGCCTGAAGGCCCTTGATCACGAGCGGGGACGCCACCATGAGGATGACCGTCGTCGCCACGGTCATGAGGTAGTGATGCCGGCTGATGAGCTTGAGGTGCTGGGCCCTCGCCACGAAGAAGAGCGAGATCTCGGAGACCTGCAGTCGCGCAAGGATTGAATAAAAAGGCGGTATCGCTGTGTAAAGACTTCAATTCAACCCAATCCCTTCGACTACTGCTGTGGTGTTCGCACAGGTTCACAGCCTCTCGTGTGATGGGATGTATGTCTGATTCCAAAATGATGGTGAGGACAAGAGCGGCCACGCGTGCGTGCACCAAGCTTGGCAACAGACACGCCCGCCATACGTCCGCAAAGCCTACAGCTCTTGCAAGGCGTCGAGACAATTCTTCTCTTCGTCAACGTCCCCGTGGCGAGACGTCAGCCAACAGTTGCTCGAGCACAGGCAGAGCGTAGGCTCCGAACCGCTTGACTCACACAGGCTGCATCCGCTGCCATCCATCTCTGCCGCCCTGCAAAACACCTACTTCGAAGTATTAGGTGTGGCACGATGTACGGCGCCGCAAGAAGGCTAGGTGCACAGGCCGAGAGAAAAAAAAAAAAACGAGACGCACTGCGTCCCTCCTGCTGTCGCCATTTCACCGCACACCCACCCAAGTCCGAATCCTCTGAAGGCTTTGCAAATCCCTTGCTGGCAGTGTCGTACCTGAGCCATGCACGCGCCCGCGAGCGTAGAGGCCTCCCACGAAAAGCCGAAGGACTTCATGACCATCGCCACGATCAGGAGCTTTATTAACACCAGCATCACCACGCACCCAAGCACATCTCCGAAGTTCCACACCATGAAGGCCTGATCGTGTTGGCAGGGGGCGGCGGGGGGGGGTCCTGAATGAAAAGGAAAAACCCCTCTCAAGACAACGGCCGTCAGCCCTGTGCTCAGCATGTTTCCTCGTAATAACGTTACAACAACAAGCGGGGCACGTACGCAACAAGCGCAGTCGCAGCCGCGAAATGAACCGCTACCCGCATGACCCCCCGACAGCTAAGCGCTGTCCCTCATGTTCAACTCCCCCCTTGATCGGTGCTGCTAGTCGAGTCCTTCGAAAGGACTCGACTGGCAGTTCGCTAAATTTATTCATTGAGAGTGGGGGCACCCGAAACAAGACGCGGGTCCAGCGTAGGTCAGCCGGCTGGCTGGTATGTTGTGGCGGGCTAGCTGTTGGTCTTGAACTCAAGAGACCAAGTTGACACAAACGTGGGCATGTCGGACTGTCCGATGTGCGCCCGCGTTGTTTCGGCCTGCCTGCTGAGTCCAAGAACAACATCGAACCCGCCAACCACACCAGCCGGCCGTGCGCCGGAGACAAGCCTGCTTCACTGGTACTGCTGTTTTGTTCTCTCTACACAACGACGGAAAAACAGGCACAACGTTTCCGGTGCGATCGTACCAAACAGCCAGAGCAGCCGCAAGGAAAACAAAAATACTTGCCAAATGCCGCACGCATGTGCCAAAACACGAAGGCGGGTTCAGCTTCACCTCCCTCCCCTATCTTATTCCCGCCGCCTTCCTGTCCGTTGCTCCCTCCGTCGACAATAACAACTGTCGTTGGTTCGTCGTCTTCCAGACCATTCTCGTAGATCTCGTAGATCTCGTAGACTTCGTCTGGATCCCCTCGTTCACTCCGTCACTCACCGGGTTGACGATCATGCCGAGAGAGCCGAGATACATCCCTCCGAAGAGGCTCGTCAACGGCTGCATTCTCGCGTGGGCCTTCTGGGCGAAGGGGGAGTCGACCATCAGCAGCCCGGCAAAGAGAGCTCCGGCCTGGATCATGTGTTGGGTCATCATTCCGCCGCCGTCGTCGTCGTCGTCGTCGTCGTCGTTGTTGATGTTGTTGGTGTGTTGGTGGTGGTGGTCGTGTTGGCAGTGGTTTCCCCCGTTCCCGTCAGAAAAAATAGTCGATACGTACGATGGGTCGATCGAAGGCGCGCGCGCGCCCCAAGAACCACACAGAAATGATCGGAGAAAGGGGGGAAGGGCGAGTGAGGGTGAGGGAGAAGCGACCAAGAGACAAGAGTGGCGCAATTTCGTAAACACACCGAAACGAACAGCATTCCCAGCCCAGGCACACAGGCAAGCGCGATCGCCTTCTTCGGGGAAGGCAAAGTCTTCATTCACACTTGTCTGACAACACCAACGGCTGTTCCAGCGTTTTTGTGGGGCACCCGATGAGCACAGGTGTTCCGGTGCTGTTCAAGTTTTTTTCCCGCAGAAATCTGCGTGTGAAATAACGGGGGGATTGCTTGCGTCCTTGCCACTACTACTTCTGCCCTGAGCAGTTGTTGACAGACTGGCAACACCGAACGTTGCATAAGAAACCACACCGCCTGCGCCGATTTTCAAAGCCCGTCCGACTGCTGCAAAGACGAAGTGAATCCCAAGCATCAAATGGCACGTTTTCGGAAACCCCTCAGGTTCTGACGCCGCCATTATCGGCGCGGTCATCGATTTCGCGCAAGAGATATCGAAATATGGAGCATTGAAAACAGGCCCAGGGGCTGCGTATCTATCATGTACCACCCACGGTATCCTACCTCGTGACTCAGGTCGAGGCGCTCGCAGACAAGAGCGACACCGAGGCAGTAGCTCACCACCGCCAGGGTGAAGAGACCGGACGATTGCTCCTGCAAAGCCAAGCCACCGATTTACGAACAGCACGCCACACCGTTCGAGGGAGAAGGGTGCTGATGGGCATCATGCCAGGGGGGTGCGGTTCGACCATCGACTCGCAGGGTGGGAAGGGGGCGCAGGAAAACCGCAAGCGCGACGAAGACATTCGAGAGGAGACGTCTGTGCGGAAAGCCATGCTTCGATTGGGGGGAGAAGGTGGATTTCTGCTCGAGGTGCTCAACGGCAGAATAATACCGTCCGGACGCGCACCCGATTGGTTCGCTGCCCCTCGAAGCCGGCCACAGCGACACCAGCAACCGACACACCGGACAACAGCAACACAAAATCAACACCACCAAAACGGCCAAGAAAAAAACAAGAAACGGCTCAAGGTAGAGCAACCAATGCTCTGACGAAAACAAGGATCCGGCGCAAGGTAACTCCGGCAAACGGAGAGTGCAGCCACCTCCTAAACAAGGAACCACACACAGGGAGGGCAAAGAAATGAAACACGAGCACCTCTCGTGCTCCTTGTCCTCGAGACCGACAACTTTTGCGGATGCAACGAAGAAGGACGGGGTCGCAACATGGAGACAAACAACATACACATCCCCAACGGGAAATGGGCCCAAAGATTTTCCTCGCCTGGCAAAAAAGACGCGAAAAGAAAAAAAAACGGTCGTCAACGACACGAGGCTGCAGCACACCGAAGCAGCACGCGCGACCACAAAAACTCACAAAAGACGAGCGTCGTCGCACCTGCTTGTCCTTGAGCACCAGCCGGGCCATGGCCATCGGCAGCACCCTCCTCGAGGCGATCACGAAGGCCAGCAGCAGTATCGCGCACCCGGCGATTCGAGGCACAAACGACCCCGTCGTGCCCTGAGACTCCTCCACGGCGTACATGATGGCCGTCGGAATCGCCAGCAGCGGACACCTTTTTTTTTTCAAGAGCAACACACAAAAGAAGAACCAGGAAAAAGCGCGCGGGGGGGGGGGGGGGGGGGG